CCCCCCCCGCCTACCTTGCTCCGGTGTCGTCGTGTTAATCGCCGTTGTGCTCTCTCGGCTCGTCAATTTCTGGTCCAGGGTACAGCATCGTTTGTGTCAAACCCATGGGGGGGGGTCGTACTTTTGCTCTGGGGGGGGGTCGTATTTGTAAGACAAATTTATTTTGATAGTTGATTTTTTCTTGTGGAAAAGGGGGTCGTATTAATTTTTTGTTTTGTATGCACTATATTTCACTGTCTAACTCGTGGATATCCGTTGCATAGTTATTGCATCCCGTAGCCTATACTAGGGCTCCACCTCTCTCCGCGCTTTGCAGTGTATCGTCACCTTCTGCTTAACACTGTTGATCTTGGCCATCCTACTTTCGCCCGATGATTATGATCAAGTGTAAGGAGGAGGGACGTATTGAGGGCGGTTTTTCATACTTTTTTCTCCACTACTAATTCAACAAATGGACAATGTACTCCTGTTTTTGAACCCCGCTACCTATGTTGTGCAGTCGCGGAGGTGCCCTTAAGTGGCAGTTTTGACGCTCCCCAGTCGCCCGCCCCGCCCACCCATCACGAGTTCAGTTTTTTTTATCGTTTTCTGTTTTTTTTGGCGAAGGCAATAGATTACATTAACATTGGACGGGGGAGAAACGGTTTAGTGACCAAAGGCTGCAGGATCCCCCTAGCAGACATAAAACAAGCAGGCACGGACACTCGTGCGTGAGGCTGTGCGCTTGTAATGTAACAAGGTCTTTAAGTGCACAATCTGCACCACTCTTGAGAACATGAAGCAGGCAGGGACAGTGGGTTCAAAACGAGGTTTCAAGAGATAGGGCGGTAGCAAAGCTATTAGGTTATCCGGAAAGTTCTCAGGGTTTTGAGTGTTTCACTTCAACGATCATAACTTTCTTAATACTCATCGGATTTGATCGAAATAAGCACCGTTCCCAGCATACGCTTTGCCATGTGAGCACCAGTCCGATGAAATCAAGAAAAAACTAGGTGGGCGAGAATTGCAAGCGAAAATCCCACGAAGGCTTTTTGTCTGGTGCCCTGATTGATGAAGTTTTCCAGGCAAGAAAGTCTGAAAAATGTTTTATAAAGAAGATAGTCGGTTGGTGAAAGGTCTGGAGAATATGGCGGGTGAGGTAGAACTTCAACCCCCAATTCGTTCAATTTATGGATAGTGATTTGTGAAACGTGTGGGCGGGCGTTGTCATGCAAAGAATCGGACCCTTTCTGTTGACAAGTGCTGGCTGCAGCTGACGCAATTTTCGTAACAAGTTTTCGTCTGGCCTGGTGATAAAAAGTTATAGTGGATCACACCAGCCGATGAACACCACACTGTGACCATAATCTTTTTTTCCGTGAGGATTCGGCCTTGGAAATTGCCGCTCGTTGTCTCGTCGGGCATCCAACCACTGTCCGGAACGTCTCCTGTTATCATACATGATCCACTTTTCATCACAGGTGACAATTCGGTCCAAAAACGGGTCGTTTCTGTTGCGCAAAAGCAGTGAAGAAGAAACCTCGAGACGTGCCAATTTCTGCCGGTCACTCAAATTGTGGGGCACCCACTTGTCGAGTTTTTTCACCTTCCCCATCCCCGGTGGATTTTTTTACCAACGCCTAGCTTTTCTGCAATCTCTCGAACTGTTTGGGATGGGTCAGCCTCCACAAACGCCTTCAAATCCTCGTCAGGTATTGCTTTAGGTCGACCGCTACGAGGTTCATCTTAGAACTGAAATCTAAGAACGAAAATTCCGTCCCGACCATTGTTGCACGGTGCTTTCTCCAACACTATTGGGTCCCCACACCTGGTTAATTTGCCGAGCTGTCTCGACTGCGGATTGACCCAATGTGTAGTTGAAGAAAAATATCGTCCGAAGTTGCTCTTTTGACATGCTTCAAAAAGCCTTGGGAAAAGGGGGTTTATCAAGCAATGGTGAAACGGCAATTATACCATCAGATAGCGCAAAATTCCTTTAGATTTTCTCTTCAGGATGTACTACTGAGACGCAAGGGAGAATGAGTTTTTAATCAGCAATGAATGTACAAAAAATAGTAACACAAAACGCTTAGAACTTTCCGGACAACTAATGGTTACCAATATGCATGGCGGAGAACGTGCATTACAATCGGTTTTTGACTGAAAATTACATGCTCCACTGACCAATCAGTGCACATTTGGGAGACTTGTTATGGTCTATTCCAGGTCTCTGACTGCACAAATGATGTCATAGAAAAGGACAGCGTTCAAAAGAACAAAACAGAATAAAAACAGAGAACGGTAGTTTTCTCTTCGTTTCAGGAACTGCACGAGGGATACTGATATCATTGATCAACTGCTCAATGGTACCGGATACAATAAGTTCCGAATACCACGTCAGTTGCTTTTCCACTATTCATTTCATCTCTCTTATCATACGCTCCGTATGGGGCACAGCATCGAGATGGAAGAAATGGCAGTGTCAGACGACCAATCCGAAGTTCCTCCCTCGGTACTACCCCCTGCTTACCATCCCACCTACCATCTTTCTGAGTTTTCCAACTTCCCACCACTTCACCCTAGTTTTCAAGAAAATTTCGCAGTTACCCTCCTAAGAGCCGCCATCGAGGGGGAAAAGAATTAGGTATCAAACAACCTCTAATTCCAACTATCAAGTAGCAAAAAAATATGTATAGTGAAGACCTTGACGACTCCGTCACTACGGGATTTGTGTCAGGACCAAATACGACCCGACGGGCAAATGCGACCCCTTGGTGGGAATCTTCCAGCGATTCTGTATCCTGACTCCATATCCCGAAATTGAGGAACCATTGATGCATACTTCATTAGATGGTGGCCACGACTGCGTTTTGTAGAGCTTTGTTACAAATGCGATCAGCACGAGACAGTATAACACTTTTCTGTGACGGGAATATCCCAAGAATGTTCAAGTTGTCCCACGAATGTCCACGTAGAGTACGCAACCACGTTCCATCATCTCCGGGATATGGCGTGTATTATATATACACTCCTTATCCCTGAGCCAGAGTAGGCGTGGCATTTGAACATGGCACGGAATTGCTCACTCGTGGAATATTCCAGTTTGGACAACTGTCATCTTGTTCTGTGTTGGACAGAGACAATTGTGTCAAGATGAAAATACCCCACCAGAAGCCTGTTGAAGCGTGCGGCTACGCCCACCCGATCTCAGGGATTTGGCGTATATACAGGGGGGGGGGGCAAAAAAAAAGACATTTTGACCGAGATCACATATCAACCGAAGTTTGCGCAGCCAGCAGGAGGACAGTGAGACGAGGCTTCCAGGCGGATGATTACCCATAGATGTTTCCATCTATAAGCAGGAAGCTGGCGCCGCCCATCACCATTCATGTACGCGCAAAATACGAAGTGATGCTCCCACCGCAAACCTACATGGAGAAAACCTTCGGAAATTTCATGTCAACCTCCAAACAGCTCAAACTTCTAGTGTGGAGTCCCTCATGTAGCTTACCTGGAGCTATATCCTCATCTAGAAGACGCTCCGACATCGAGGCAGCTCCGCGACAACGTGCCGCTACGGTCTAGGAACATCATTTTCAGCATCAGTCGATACAGGCGCCAGTTGAATGGTGGCGACGGACGTACCTGGAATGGGAGAGGCCGAATATTTTCTCGTGGGCCCCGGACTAAAGGTGAGCGCTGGCGGTTACATTGGGCAACTCGTGAAGAATATCCTCCTCACATGTGGTCGCCCGTACCTTCTTGGAAACTTTGTACTGCTACAGCATTGAGTGCCACCACATGAAATCGAAGGGCGTTGGAGAAACTCTTGCCTACTTGTAATGGAAGGGCGTTGAGTACCTGAAGAAGGTGGAATATCTAAGCAGGTAACCTGACCTAAACCCCTTACCTGGCTCGGGCGGAGTTCAATAGGGTGGTCTACAGTGGCGGAGAAATCAACGATCTCGCTGAACTCACGCACCCACTGACGGTCGCGTGGCAGAATCTCTCGATGGCGCTCCTCCAGAAGGCTGTGGCGGAGTATCATGATAGTATTTGATATGCTCTTTAATATGGTGGTAGAAATGTCCGATAATAATTTAATAAAGTGTAACTTATAGCGCCTCGAAAGTCGAGGAAGAAAAAAGTCTTTTTTTGGCCCCCCCCCCTGTATTGTTCATCCAAT